TGGGACTACAGGCGCCCACCACCTCGCCCGGCTAGTTTTTTGTATTTTTTAGTAGAGACGGGGTTTCACCGTGTTAGCCAGGATGGTCTCGATCTCCTGACCTCGTGATCCGCCCGTCTCGGCCTCCCAAAGTGCTGGGATTACAGGCTTGAGCCACCGCGCCCGGCCTAATTTTTTTTTTTTTTAGACAGAGTCTTGCTCTTGTTGCCCAGGCTGGTGAGCAGTGGCATGATCTCAGCTCACTGCAACCTCCGCCTCCTGGGTTCAAGTGATTCTCCTGCCTCAGCCTCCTGAGTAGCTGGGATTACAGGTGCCCACCACCACGCCTGGCTAATTTTTGTATTTTTAGTAAAGACGGGGTTTTGCCATGTTGGCCAGGCTAGCCTTGAACTCCTGACCTTGTGATCTACCCGCCCTGGCCTCCTAAAGTGCTGGGATTACAGGCGTGAGGCACCACACCCAGCCAGAATAAGATTTCTTTTCTGCTGTATATTTGCTACCCTTTGATCAAACATTATGGGAGCCCAATAGAAATCAACAAAATGAATATTTGACCACAAGCATTATTGATGCATATGCTTGTTTTTCTTAAAATCTATTAGTTTTTTATGAAAGATTTATACTTTTTTTCCAGTTTATTGTTTATTGCTGAGAAGTAGCTGTCCTTCCAGAAAACTGCTATCCTCAGCTGTACACATTGACTAATAGTCGATGGAAGTGAAGTGGATAAAAAGCAAATGTGTCCTCTCTGTATCTTTTTTCATCCATTGCCTGAAGAACAGGAGGATGCAGACAATGAAAGAAAATATAATCCCTGAAAGATCATGAAGAAGCTCTCTTAATCAGACAAAAAAACCTCATAGGGGATTCTTTTTTTCCATTATTGTACTCTCTGCTTCTATGAGTTTAAATTTTTTTTACACTTTACATAGAAATCAGATTATGTGGGCCAAATATGGTGGCTCACGCTTGTAATCCCAGCACTTTGAGAGACCGAGGTGGGTGGATCACTTGAGGTAAGGAGTTTGAGACCAGCCTGGCCAACATGGCTAAAACTTGTCTCCACTAAAAATATAAAAATTAGCGGGGTGTGGTGGCACGTGCCCATAATCCCAGGTACTGGGAAGGCTGAGGCAGGAGAATCACTTGAACTCTGGAGCGGAGGTTGCAGTGAGCCGAGATGATGCCACTGCACTCCAGCCTGGTCAACAAGAGCGAAACCCCATCTCAACAAAACAAAACAAAACAAAAAAGGATGATTTTTTAAATTTTTTTCTGTGCTGGGTTATTTTACTTAGCATAATATCTTTCAGGTTCATTAATGTTCTTGCAAATAACAAGACTTTCTTATTTTTAGGGGCTGAAAAGCAGTTCATTGTGTACATATACCACATCTTCTTTCTCCATTCACCTATTGATGGACACTGAGGTTGATTCCATACTTTAGCTATTGTGAGTAATCCACTTCCTTCCTTCTATTTGTGTTTTTTTGTTTTGTTTTGTTTTTATTTTGTTTTGTTTGAGATGGAGTCTCATTCTGTCACCCAAGCTGGAGTATAGTGGCACTATCTTGGCTCACTGCAACCTTTGCCTCCCAGGTTCAAGAAATTCTCATGCCTCAGCCTCCCAAGTAGCCGAGATTACAGGTGTGTACCACCGCACCAGGCTAATTGTTGTATTTTTAGTAGAGGCAGGGTTTCACATGTTGGCCAGGCTGTCTTTCATTTGTTTGTATATTTCTTTCTTCCTTTCCTTCCTTATTTCTAGAAGAATTTTAATTTTGAAATACAAGTTATGACTGTTAAAATCCTTCATTTCTCTGTCTTTTTTTGAGATGGAGTCTTGCTCTGTAACCCAGGCTGGAGTGCAGTAATGTGATGTTGGCTCACTGCAACCTCCACCTCCTGCATCCCAGTTCAAGAAATCCTCCTGCCTCAGCTTCCCAAGTAGCTGGGATTACAGGCACATGCCACCATGCCCAGCTAATTTTTTAGTAGACGTGGGGTTTCACCATGTTGGCCAGGCTGGTCTTGAACTCCTGACCTCGTGATCTGCCTGCCTTGGACTCACAAAGTGCTGGGATTATAGGCATGAGCCTATAATGATTTTATTTTTTTTATTTTTATTTTTATTTTTTTTTGAGACGGAGTCTCGCTCTGTCGCCGGGGCTGGAGCGCAGTGGCCGGATCTCAGCTCACTGCAAGCTCCGCCTCCCGGGTTTACGCCATTCTCCTGCCTCAGCCTCCTGTGTAGCTGGGACTACAGGCGCCCGCCACCTCGCCCGGCTAGTTTTTTGTATTTTTTTAGTAGAGACGGGGTTTCACCGTGTTCGCCAGGATGGTCTCGATCTCCTGACCTCGTGATCCGCCCGTCTCGGCCTCCCAAAGTGCTGGGATTACAGGCTTGAGCCACCGCGCCCGGCCTATAATGTTTTTAAAAAAATTTGTAGTGGCCATTATAATGGGCATTAGGTTATTTGGTTTGTCATTGTGTTTTTTTTCTTTCTCCACAAATTAGTAATTTTGTGTGTCCTTTCAAATGCATTTTCCCATTTGTGTTTTTTTGATGAAAACTTTATCCATTTCTAAATTGAGTTGATTCAACTTTACTGTTTAAAGAGTTGTTTATATATTTTGAATATTAACTCCTTTAACATATAATATACAAATGTTTTCACCTATTTTCTAAGGGATGTTGTCACTCTTGAATTTTTTTTGATGTGCAGAAATTTTGAAGTCTCGTGTAGTTAAACTTTTATTTGTTGCTCATGCATTTAATGTCATATCTAAGAAAATAATGCCAAGACCGATGTCATGCCTTTTTCTTGTATTTTTCCTAAACAATGTGTTAGTTTTTTTTATGTCTTTGTATTTTATTTAAAATATGTTTTGTATCATTCAAGGAAATAATGCAACTTTATTTTATCGGTGTTGATACTGTAGCTTTTAACTGTTGGTTGTATTCACATCTTTGAACAATGAAATTTTTTACCCCTGAGCAAGAATATGATGAAGACTGTATTTTATATTCACATATTTTTGAATTTGCCAGTTTGACTTTTGCTTTTAATTCCTAGTTTTATTCAGTTTTTGTTAGAAAACACACAGCGTATAATTTTAGTCTTTTAAAATGATTTGTTGTTGTTTTGAGACAAGATCTTACCATCACCCAGGCTGGAGTGCAGTAGCATAATTCTGGCTCACTGTAGCCTTGGCCTCCTGGGCTCAAGTGATCCTTTCACGTCAGTTTCCTGAGTAGCTAGAACTACAGACATGCACTACCATACAGCCTCCGCCTCCTGGGTTCAAGCGATTCTCCTGCCTCAGCCTCCGGAGTAGCTGGGACTACAGGTGTGCACCAGCACGTCCGGCTAATTTTTTGTATTTTTAGTAGAGATGGGGTTTCACCGTGCTGGCCAGGCTGGTCTTTAACTCCCGACCTCAAGTAGTCTGCCCACTTTGGCCTCCCAAAGTGCTGGGATTACAGGCGTAAGCCAACACACCTGTCCCTAAATGATTTCTTTCTATCTCCTATAACAGTTTGAAATTACTTAAATGTTGTTTCAAATTGAAAAATTAAGAAGAATATAGATATAAATAAAATATAAATAGTTTAAAAATTACAGGAGATTACAAATTAAAAATGTAAATCTCGAGAGGTCAGAAATGACAAATTTTGTTTATTTACAAGGTTTTATTTATTCATTTTTGGAGACTGCAGTCTCACTTCGTCTCCCAGGCTTGAGTGCAGTGGTGCCATCTCGGCTCACGGCAACCTCTGCCTCCCGGGTTCAAGCGATTCTCCTGCCTCAGCCTCCTGAGTAGCTGGGACCACAGGTGCATGCCACCACGCCCGGCTAATTTTTTGTATTTTTAGTAGAGACAGGGTTTGACGGTGTTAGCCAGGATGGTCTCGATCTCCTGACCCAGTGATCTGCCCGCCTCAGCCTCCCAAAGTACTGGGTTTACAGGCCTCAGTCACCGCACCCGGCTTTACAAGGTCTTATTAAAATTAGCTTTAGTATTGATAATACACTATTACCAAAGTAAAAGTTGATTTTCTCTTGAACAAACATTTCATGTATTATTAATATGACAGCAAAGTACTTCTATTCACCTTTTGAATACATTCAAAAAGAGAGAGAATACGAGATAGAATTTTCCCATGCTCTGGTATAGGATGCTCAGCTCAGGGAGGAAGCCCTGTTTGAAAAGGCTGCAGCTAGGCCGGGCTCGGTGGCTCACGCCTGTAATCCCAGCCCTTTGGGAGGCCGAGGCTGGCGGATCACCCGAGAACGGGAGCTCAAGACCAGCCCGACCAACATGGAGAAACCCCGTCTCTACCAAAAGTACAAAACATTAGACAGAGGTGGTGGCACATGCCTGTAATCCCAGCTACATGGGAGGCTGAGGAAGAATTGCTTGAACCCGGGAGGTGGAGGTTGCGGTGAGCCAACATCGTGCCATTGCACTCTAGCCTGGGCAATAAGAGCTAAACTCCGGCCGGGCGCGGTGGCTCAAGCCTGTAATCCCAGCACTTTGGGAGGCCGAGACGGGCGGATCACGAGGTCAGGAGATCGAGACCATCCTGGCTAACACCGTGAAACCCCGTCTCTACTAAAAATACAAAAAACTAGCCGGGCGAGGTGGCGGGCGCCTGTAGTCCCAGCTACTCCGGAGGCTGAGGCAGGAGAATGGCGTGAACCCGGGAGGCGGAGCTTGCAGTGAGCTGAGATCCGGCCACTGCACTCCAGCCCGGGCTACAGAGCAAGACTCCGTCTCAAAAAAAAAAAAAAAAAAAAAAAAAAAAAAGAGCTAAACTCCGTCTCAGGGGGGAAAAGAAAGAACGAAAGAAAGAAAAGGCTGCAGCCTAGGCTGCCACTCTTTCTTCACTCAGCCCAGTATGTGATCACATCTTCTGTCACTCAGCGACTGAGGGGGCGGGGCCTTAAGCATTATCCAATCAGGGACGCTGGGCTGGAAACCGTCCAATCAGGAACGCAGCTGGAACGAACAGAATGGTTTATGGGGGCCTTTGTTTCTCGCTGCAGCGGGAGCTCCAGGTTTATCTTGGGATGTGTGTCCTGTACTTATAGGACCCAGCCTCTGTGGCCGTGTAACCTGCAAGTATTGAGAGAGCCACAGCTAAACCCCGGGACCCCCTGGAAGCCTAGAAATGGTGAGTGCCGGGTCCAACCTCCGGAGAGAGGGGAGGGGCTGGTTGAAACCCGTGGGAAGTGGCTCTGGCGGGACTCTGCCTCCTCACAGTCAGCTCCACAATCTCCCGCCCGAGTTCTCCCTGCCCAGCTCGGCCTCAGTCTCCTTCAGCCATAAGATGGCGGCTGCGGTAACAGCCGGGGCCCTGTCTCTTCCCTGCACAGTGACTGCGTCCTGGCCTGGAGCCCTCTTTCAGCAGCTCTGCACCCGCAGCACCGCGTCTCTCCCAGATCGTGCAAGCACCACGGGAGGGTTGTCAGGGGAGAATCCTGACTCGGGGTGCGGGTTCATGAATGGGAAGAGTTTTGGTCCGTGGGGTTGTTAGAAACAAGCGCTCGGTGCCGCAAAACAAAACAAAACAAAAAACCACCCAGCACTTAGAAAATTTCACAAGAAGGCATATTTACTTCTGAAGAAGGGTGCTGCTCGCGTCTATCTTGATCGCAAGAGCACACCGAAGAAAGGAAGGTTTTTTTGTTTTTTGGTTTTCTTTTTTTTTTTTTTTTTTTTGAGACGGAGTCTCGCTCTGCCGCCCAGGCTGGAGTGCAGTGGCCGGATCTCAGCTCACTGCAAGCTCCGCCTCCCGGGTTCACACCATTCTCCTGCCTCAGCCTCCCGAGTAGCTGGGACTACAGGCGCCCGCCACCGCGCCCGGCTAGTTTTTTGTATTTTTAGTAGAGACGGGGTTTCACCGTGTTCGCCAGGATGGTCTCGATCTCCTGACCTCGTGATCCGCCCGTCTCGGCCTCCCAAAGTGCTGGGATTACAGGCTTGAGCCACCGCGCCCGGCCTGGTTTTCTTTTTTGAAACGGAGATTTGCTCTTGTTGCCCAGGCTGAAGTGCAATGGGGCGCAATCTCGGCTCACTGCAACCTCTGTCTCCCGGGTTCAAGTGAATCTCCTGCCTCAGCCTCCCGAGTTGCTGGAGTTACAGGCATGCGTCACCACGCCCGGCTGATTTTGTATTTTTAGTAGAGATGGGGTTTCACCATGTTGGTCAGGCTGGTTTTGAACTCCCGAACTCAGTTGATCCGCCCGCCTCGGCCTCCTAGTTAGAAAGGGGTTTTTAACCCTAACGCCGTTATTGTCTTTGTGTCTTTCCCCCGGTGGCCCGGGTCTGACCTCACAATCTAGGCTGACCTGATAGGCTACTTTCCAAATAAGGAAGGGGTGCGGGTCGCAGATTGGAACTGGCGGTTTGGGTTGCTTACAGAGCGGGTGTCTAGGTACAAGGAGGTACAAAAAAGTTGGTCCTAAGAACAAGGAACAAGAAAGGCCTTTGGAGAGGAGTCTATTATATCTGTCAGGGTTCACAGTTTCTCTTTTCTCCTATTAAAAATTGATGGGGCCGGGCGTGGTAGCTCACGCCTGTAATCACAGCACTTCAGGAGGTCGAGGCGGATGGATCGGCGGATGGATCACGTGAGGTCAGGAGTTGAAGACCAGCGTGGCCAAAATGGGGAAACCCCATCTCTACTAAAAGTACAAAAATTAGCTGGGTGTGATGGCGAATGTCTGTCGTCCCAGCTACTCGAAAGGCAGAGATGATGGAATCGCTTGAACCCGGGAGGCGGAGGTTGCAGTGAGCTCACATCACGCCACTGCACTCCAGCCTGGGCGACAGAGCAATTATGTCTGAAAAAAAAAAAAGTGTGAGAGTCACTGCAAAACTATGAAATAATTTAGTCAAAGAGTGATTCAAGAATTGTAGAGCACCCAGCTATAGTTTGTAGTTTGTGGTCCATGGAGGGGCTTGAAGAAAAGACATTTATAAAATGCCTGATGGCCGGGTGCAGTGGCTGGCCTTCCCAGCACTTTGGGAGGCTGAGGCGGGAGGATCACGAGGTCAGGAGTTCAAGACCAGCCTGACCAACATGGTGAAACCCTGTCTCTACTAAATATACAAAAATCAGCCGGTCTTGGTGACAACGCGCCTGTAATCCCAGCTACTGGCAAGGCTGAAGCAGGAGAATGGCTTGAACCTGGGAGGCGGAGGTTGCAGTGAGCCGAGATGGCGCCACTGCACTCCAGCCTGGGCAACAGAGACTCTGTCTCAGACAAAAAATAAAATAAAACAAAATGCATGATGAAGAAAACAAATTCAATAATTGGTTAGGTATAGTTACATAGTTCCTTAATTTGTACAATCAAGGTGGAAATTTCCTGGTTATGTAATCAGAGCTTAATTGGCAGTTTATAGTTGTTTAAGCCTGAAGTTTTTTCCCCTAATGTAGTAATTTACAAAAAAATGCACGTGAGTTTAGATTTTTGTTTTAGAAGTAGGAATCTGGGGACTAGAGCCTCCTCAGTCTAATTGCTTGCCACTTAGTTATTTTCACAACCCACAGGGGACTGATTGTCCCTGGCATTTTTCACATGTGTCCCAAGCAGGGCCTCAAGTGTACCCCATGTTCCTCAATTAATCATTTTTTTAAAAAGCATTGCCTAACAATATTGAAAAGATTTTCTGTTAGTAAATATTTCCAATGTGAAGAGGGCACAGACTAATCCCCTGACACTGTATTGTAAAAAATATCTGTGCCTCTTTTTCTTTTATTTTTCCAGAGAACTTACCAGAATGTTTTTGGGTCAAGATTTCCCTTTTGAAGCCGGGCGCAGTGGCTCACGCCTGTAATCCCAGCACTTTGGGAGGCTGAGGTGGGCGGATCACGAGGTTAGAAGATGGAGACCACCTTGGATAACACAGTGTAATCTCGTCTCTAGTAAAAATACAAATACTTAACTGGGCGTGGTGGCACGCGCCTGTAGTCCCAGCTACTCAAGAGGCTAGAGTAGGAGAATCGCTTGAACCCGTGAGGTGGAGGAGGTTGCAGTGAGCCGAGATCGTGCCACTCCACTTAGGCTGTTTTAGTACTTTCTGGGGATAAACCAAGATACCCACCATGGCTATGTCTGCTAGAGTGTCTAGTGACTATTAGCTCTTTGGTCATTTTCTCCCATAGGACCACCTTAAGTATGGAGTGTAACCTCTCAAGGGAGCAGGTGGCAGCTTTGGGGCTGAAAGGCATCTCCCTGGATTCTCTTGGTGGGGACAGAAAAATAGTGAAAAAAAAAATAGTGAAAAGTTCCTGAAAAAACACTCCAAAAGACAAAAAAATTGACCGCAGTGAGATGGTGTAAAAACTTACAAAGTAAAATGCACCTGGTGCACTCACTGGGGCATAGCGCAGTGTCTCCTGGGAGGGTGGTTATTCAGCATGTAACAGAGCAGGATGGGGTGGGTGATTGGATCTGTACCTTGAAAAGATTTCAATCCGTCCAATGAGGTACGCAGCTGGAGCGAACAGAATGCTGTCTGGGGGCCTTTGTTTCTCGCTGCAGCGGGAGCTCCAGGTTTATCTTCTGTGTTTTGTGTCCTTTGCTTATAGAGACCCAGCCTCTGTGGCCGTGTGACCTGCAAGTATTTTTTTTTTTTTTTTTTTTTTTTTTTTTTTTTTTTTTTTTTTTTTTTTTTTATTGAGTCTCTTTTTCTTGTGCCGGTGTGACTGCAGTATTTTTTTTTTTTTTTTTTTTTTGAGACCGGATCCTGCCTCTGTCACCCAGGCGGAGTGGCGGAGTCTGCTCTGTCCCAGGCTGGAGTGCAGTGGCCGGATCTCAGCTCACTGCAAGCTCCTCCTCTCGGGTTCACGCCATTCTCCTGCCTCAGCCTCCGGAGTAGCTGGGACTACAGGTACCCGCCACTTCGCCCGGCTAGTTTTTTGTATTTTTTAGTAGAGACGGGGTTTCACGGTATTAGCCAGGATGGTCTCGATCTCCTGACCTCATGATCCGCCCGTCTCGGCCTCCCAAAGTGCTGGGATTATAGGCTTGAGCCACCGCGCCCGGCCGACCTGCAAGTATTGAGAGAGCCACAGCTAAACCTTATTTTGACCTCACTATTTTTATTTTATTTTATTTTATTTTATTTATTTATTTTATTTTATTTTTATTTATTTATTTATTTTTATTTTTTTTTTTTTGAGACAGTCTCACTGTGTTGCACAGGCTGGAATGCAGTGGCTTGATCCCAGCTCACTACAGCCTCCACCTCCTGGGTTCAGGTGATTCTCATGCCTCAGCCTCCCGAGTAGCTAGGACTACAGGTGCACACCACTGCACCCGGCTAGTTTTTGTATTGTTAGTAGAGATGGACTAGACTGGTCTCCAACTTCTGGTCTTAAGTGATCTGCTGGCCTTGGCCTCCCAAAATGCTGGGATTACAGGTGTGAGCCACTGCACCCAGCTGACATCAGTTTTTAAGTGTAATTTGCATTTTATTATTAGGGCTTGGAAAGTAAGAAAATATTTATAAAGAACATAAAAGAGATGAGTTTCAAAAAATAAATATATATATTTTTTTTTTTTTTTTTTGAGACGGAGTCTCGCTCTGCCGCCCAGGCTGGTGTGCAGTGGCCGGATCTCAGCTCACTGCAAGCTCCGCCTCCCAGGTTCACGCCATTCTCCTGCCTCAGCCTCCCGAGTAGTTGGGACTACAGGCGCCCGCCACCGCGCCCAGCTAGTTTTTTGTATTTTTTAGTAGAGACGGGGTTTCACCGTGTTAGCCAGGATGGTCTCGATCTCCTGACCTCGTGATCCGCCCGTCTCGGCCTCCCAAAGTGCTGGGATTACAGGCTTGAGCCACTGCGCCCGGCCTAAAAAATAAATATCTAATCACATATTCCATTTGTTAATAATTCTCATTTACCTTTTTATTTCTCAGAGTGAGTTTAGGAATTTTCTCAGGTGTATTTTTTTTTTTTTTTTTTTTGAGACGGAGTCTTGCTCTGTCGCCCAGGCTGTAGTGCAGTGGCCGGATCTCAGCTCACTGCAAGCTCCGCCTCCCGGGTTCACGCCATTCTCCTGCCTCAGCCTCCCGAGGAGCTGGGACTACAGGCGCCCGCCACCTCGCCCGGCTAGTTTTTTGTATTTTTAGTAGAGACGGGGTTTCACCGTGTTAGCCAGG